CCCTCCCCTCCCCTCCCCACCCCCACAGGTGATAAACAAGGACTGACTGGTACCTCAAGAGGTATATTCTTGGCGGACGAGAATGGCTTCATAACAAGAATGAAAGTGTTCGAATTAAATTATTCCAAGTAACTAAGTGCTGATGTGCCAAGCAAAACGGTTCCTAAATAGATGTCGAGTTGAAAAAAGTATCAATTATGATCAGTAATGGGCTCCTGTTATGCCATGGATTTATGTTTATTATTGGGTGTCAGAACTACCTCGGGGGTGATATAAAAAGACAAATTATTGAATTAAGCAATTTTTGTTGGTTGACCCGCCATCAATCCCTTTTTGACCTGGGTGGGCTCCAACAAGCAAGGTTTTAGTGCTTACGCGCGGGATGGTGGCGATCGCGCGACAGATCGCGCGAGATCCGTCACGGAAAGAGCTGCAAAGAATGCGATGAATAAGCGATGAAACCTCTTAAACCTCAAAAACAATTGATACTCACTGTTTTGATCAGTGATTTTATGGTCCTGAAACGTAGCTATGACGGTTATGAAATGTTCAGTTGGTATCACCGTGAATTTTTCTTCCTCGTGTGCTGCGCGCGTTGTACATAACACGCGTGCACGTCGCAAAGACAATGTGCGTTCAATAGATCTTCGTGAACAATGTCAAAACAAGTTCAACTTACATATCTGCTCGAGGGAGTCAGCGATTATTTTGAACGGAATACTTTGTGGTTTCTCTCTTTTTTAGGGGATAAACTTTTGGATCATTTATTTCAACATGTGCTCAAAGAAAACCACCTCATCAAATCACCTCACGGCAGATCTCCCAAGTCAAAAATTTATTTTTCAAAAAGAACATCAGGAAGTGGTCATCGTCTCATGACATTGATCTCACGCCAAGGAGAGCATGAACTGAGTTTCACACGCTCATTAAAGTTCCACTGTAATCACGGTCGCCCTCGTTCAACTTTCACTGCTTAGATCAGTTTTTTTAAATCTTTTTATTCTTAGCACATTGCCATGTAATAGGCGTTCAGTTAGTAAGACAGAGCGATTGTAGTAAGAAGCACCTGAGGGGAAAAAAAAAAGAAAGGGAAGCAGGTTTGAGTTGGGTCGCGTAAGGAACATACGTCACGCGACCTGACTCAAACCTTCCGCGTTTTTTCACTCCTCCGTTACCGTCGCGTCAAAAGTGGAAAGAAATTTCACTTCACCACGCGTATTACAAAATAATAAACAACATTAAATTAAAAAACAAACAAACAAACGGTGAAAATTTAGGATGCAAAAGGTTTCGAACTTCATCGGACAAAACGTTTCCGTCCCGTCTTTTCTTCAGTTGCAGATCAATCCGGTGGATTACTTGGGATTTTGTTCTCCTTTTTAAGATCAAAGATTTTTTTATCAAATTTATCTGTGCACCGTTTATTGCGTCTGTGTGGTATTCGCCTGAGGTAGTGGTGGTCAGTCTCATAAATTAAAATGTCACCATGTTTTACCTTTTGCCCGCGAGAGTAATGATGCTTGATTTCAAGCCGCGGGAAAGACAATTTTATGTTTCAGTTCTACCGGCAGCCAGCTTCTATAAACATTCTGAAATCTGTAAAGGATACAATTGCCTACACTTCAGCCGAACCAAAACGAATGTAACGGAAGAATTTGATTGTTTTCCACAAACATAACGAGCACGTACATGGACAACAAGGAAATTGACCCCACAGGTGTCCCAAGGTCACGTCTCAAGAAAAAGCGTACGGTTACAACTGTCTTCTTTTTCTCGAGACGTGAGCTTGGGACACCAATGGGGTCAATTTTCTTGTTCCTTGACTACTAAAGTGACCATGTACACACAAACGCGGCCCAAGCTCCAGTTGTGAGATGATCATCTTGCGTAATAAGCCTCATGGCGAAAATATAAAAGGAAATAGGCCCTTATGGTTGTACGGGAATATTTATACGGCCGAGGAAGGAAAATACTGTCAAATCCTCGATAAATATACCTCACGTTACTTCTAAAATGCATCGCTTGTTGTCTGACCGCTTACTTTTTTGAAACGAGGCCATTTTAGCGAGTTACGGGTAAGAAACCTAGAAATGGATAACTTGCTTAAAATGGCCTCTTTGCAAACAAAGTAAGCGGTCGCCATGACGTTTTAAACACGCAAGATGATCAACTCACAGCGGGAGCTTGGGCTTTTTGTTGCACATTATAAAAGCTAAAGATGGTGAATATTAAAGAAAAGAGGAAATAGATTTTTTATTATCACATAAGAAAAGCCGTTAGGCTTTCGAGAACAGCTTTGGTCTTTGGTTTTTTTTTTCTCTCAAGCGGCCGGGCTGTAATCGATCAAACCCAGGCGAACGTGACTCACCGCGCTTCAGTCAAAACAACCTTTAGATACAGAGGTTGTTTACCACCCTTTCCATTCTCAGATTAATTCCTTGTTCTAAGCGTTTATAAGAGAGAAATCATCTCTAGAAATTAAAAGTTAAGGGATCGAAACTACAGAACATAGAGGACAGTATAAATCTTCAGCTGACTTCAAACATGGTAGGCATGTAACCATTGTAGTGCGAGGTGGCTGAAAGTTTTAAAAAGTGCTATGTTATAAAAAAATTGGTTTTTATCCTCTGAACATCTCTTGCCTTTTGCCAGCAAGTCAGTGAAAGTATATCATGTAGCTTATTTTTAGTTTTCTCGATTAATTTTTTTTAGAAACTTTCAACAGCTGTTGTGGCGATGTTTCTGGTTCTCTGCGTTACACAAGCAATTGCTTCAGTGGTAAGCGTTTATTCTATGTTATGAAACGGTCAAAACAGAACGACCATTTTGGTTTGGTGCTTTCCAGTGATTTTTCAAGTGTCATTTCTCCTCGGAGAGATTTAAAAAAACCTCTCCATTCTTAGCTTAAGACTCGTTTAAATGGCGAGCGACTAGGAACCAGAGTTTACCGTGGCTTTTTCCTTTACGAAACTACGTCGGGAATTGGTCAGAGTACTAATCGCTTTGGGAAACCACCAGTAATTATTTACAATGTTTTACAGATTCCAAATGGGAAAACAATGGATGAGAGAATTTTGGCAAAGGAGTACAATCCTCACCCAATGGAGAGTGAAACAAAAGAATCAGAGACAGACGAGGGAAGAGATCTAGAGTATTTTCACGTTCCAGCTAATAACCAAGATAACCGAACTGCGGCCGCTGACTATTTAGTGGATTTCAAAACTGTAAGTTTTTTAAGTCATTTAGTTTCCATTTAGTTTTACTCAGTCTTAAAAAAGCTATAATACGCTATGTGTACTTTTTGTTCGTTTGACTGCTGGATAAGCTTACCACATGACTGGTATTTTATGATGCGTTGTAGAACGAGTTCCTTCGGCGCGTTGACAGAGACGGTGTTTGCTATCTTGGAACACTGCCGGACAAATTATCTAAACGAAGTAACCTACAGACTGCGTTGAGAGAGGTAAGTGAATTATAACTAGGAAATGTCAATTTTGGAAGAGAAAGATCAACGGTCACCTTGTAATAACTGTGATTTTCACTTCTACCAAGCAGTCAATTCCGCTAGCGGCCGTGGTCACCGTCACTTAGAGAGGAACCACTTGAAAAAAACTAAGGGTAATCTTTCAAATAGCATTTAATCCACCTAAGTAGTATTTTTGAGAGACTTTGTGTCAATCATGGCATGAACTGGCGTCTATTATAATAACCCTATTCTGTGGAACCTGTTTTTAGGGGTCAACCGGGGTGAACGCTTAATACAGCTTCGACTGTATTTGGGTTTTTTAACATCTGATGACTGAAGCTGAAAGCTTTGTAATAATTATGTGGTGAATATTCTCTTCTTTGACCTGTCATATCGAAACATTCTTAGGTTTTTGATACTCCTCCTTCTCCGCAAAATCATAACATAGTGGGAGACTACTGGGTCGTGACAGAGAAAGTCGATGAGCCTCTTAGAGAAGAAATCCAAAAATTCTGTGATCCAGGTTTTCCAATCTATCGTGTAAAAAAAGTTGAACTAGTTACTACTGATGAGGGCGATGGCGACGACAGAGGCACTCGTAGAGGTAAATGAATTATTTCAAAGGATGTGTGTTTTGTTTATCGCGATTGTGATCATAAATGAAGGATCAATCGTTTGTCTCACAACATTCAGTGACTATAAATTGCAGAACGTAAACTTTTCCACTTCATTGCTGAAGTGCTTCAGGTGATGGCGGCATTTGAAAGGATATCATCGGAATACAGTCGACTCCCGTTATTGTGGACACCCTCGGGGAGAGGGGGGGGAGGGTGGGAGGGGACTTAGTGTCCGTAATAGTGAGAGGTCGTAAGGTGAGAGTCGACTGAAACCAGGAAATTACCATCGTTTATGACGAGCGTCGTTGAAAAATGATCAATCATCTCTGAAATTTATGTTGTCAAGAAAGGTGAACTGCAATTTTAGAAAATAAAAAAAGAACTCTCTAAACTTCTCTCGATCGCTTTAAGTCATTTGGTGGTAAAACCCAACTAGTGTTTGGAAAGCAAGGATTTGAATCCCGTCGAAGCCTATCTTTTTTATTTTTTACTATTATAATTTCAGGCTTCTTCTCTGCCACTACTTAGATTGCATTTCACCTGTGGGGATCATTTCTTAACTTCATTTTCATCCGCAGGTCAAATTAGACAAAAGCTTTAACATTCCCCCCCCCCCCACCCCCACACTCACCTCAGGCAACCAACGTACTGGGAGGTGGGGAATTTGAACCCTGACTGGCTGGAGTGGGAAATTTGAAACGGAAGTGTCAGTTTCCAGCGGAACACACATGTTTTGTCTTTCTTTCGCGAGTGAATGGCTTAGAATAAAAGGTCAAAAACGAGAAGAAAGTCACAGTCACAAATCCAGCATTTGGGTAGGGCATTTGAACACAATTTAGCCCCAAGGGACGGAAATTTGAACAAACTAATCTTAAACAGTTCAAATGACTGGGGGAGAGGGAATGTTGAAGCTTCGA